TTATATGAGATTAAATACCCTTACATACTTATCTGACAAAATGGGAAACATTTACTATTCATCTGGTAGTTACCAGGTTTGCTTCATTATTTTAAAATCAAAATTTATTAACTGGGAACAAGAAATAAGCAAGGGTATATAAATTTGGAATAATTGTTTTCATTATTTATTATTATTATTCTTAGTTATAGTAAATTAGGCATACTGATTTTTTTAGGAGGTATTACAGTTTGCTCACAAATTGCATAAATTTCTAATGCTTTGTTTCTTTCACATTGAACATAAAATGCATGCTATGTCACCTACAAAAATCTTATCAGAGCATTAACTAAAATAAGTGAAGTAATTCCTAGGGCAAGTATCTACACAACAATCCTTAAATTTATTAGGAGTGGCTCAAGCATTCCACGTAATTATTTTGCACAGGAAGAGAGCCTGACCTATTGCTATAGGCCTTCTGTAAACGTTAATTGAATGGGGTAACTACACAGAAGTTGGATGCATATAGGAAGCACACAAGACATGGTCTTTTTGCTTGTTATTGCAATGAGAAATAATGCCATAATCACTATATTTGCCATAATCACTATAATATTCTCTTACAATGGAAGTGTTGTGTTTTCCTACTGTATTACATTGGAGATTTTTGTTTCTCAAGACAGAAATAAAGGGTAGTTTTCCTTTCTATTGGTACAACAATCGTTAGACCTAAATATGAACCATTTTCATATCTAAATGAACTGGGTTAGTAACTGGTTGCATATCATGCTAGTTTAAATAGCAGAAAGCGAGAGAATTAAAATATCACTGAGAAGATTAGCCCAACTCGTGAAAATGCATTATATACAGATAGTATTACATTCTTTGGGATTTTAAAGTAAAATCAGTAAGTCTTTGGTAAATAATGGAAAACATTTCCCAAATTAAAAACAAAAATGAAATTCATACCTTATTAACGGTACTAAGAAAATTTAACACTCCCTCTCACCCCATGCCATGCAAAGCTTTGCCTCCAGATGTTATTTCATATTTATTTTGCAATGTTTATTATGACAGTCCAAGATGTTTATGTCTTAAAGACACATTGGTCAGTTTGTTTATAGAGAAACAGCTTCTTGCAGTGAAGACAGTTTACTTTGGGTGTGGGTTAAGGTACACAGCACTAGAAGAAATGGGTGTGGCTGGTTTTCTCCTGTGTGTTCTCTGTTATTCCTTTGGTTTTCTTTCATTATGTGATGAGAACTTTTTTTTTTTCTTTTCTTCACCTTTTTAAAAAAAATCCTGTAAAAATTTACATGATTTACACTGTTACCCTGCACAGGAAATGAAAGAAACACAGCGGAATGGGTGATAGGGCCTTGGCACATTTGTTTACAAATCTGGCTCCTGTCAAAGGCGAAACTGGAATAGCTGGAGATTTTCTCAAGACACCCGGGATAGAGAGCAGTTTGTTGTATTTTGATAGAATCACTGGTGCTTCTCAAATGAGGCTGAGGCTAGCAGGTGAGGAGGGGAGGCAGTAGGTGGTTGTGTTTGTGTGGCTTGTCCATAGTGTGAAAGAATCTGTTACGGGGCCGGCCCGGTGGCGCACTGCTACAGTGCGCTGCTTGGGAAGCGTGGCGGCGCTCCCGCCGAGGGTTCGGATCCCACATACAGACCGGCCGCTCACTGGCTGAGCGAGGGGCGGGAGCAACACTGAGGGTTGCAATCCCGTGGCCGGTCCCGGCCCGGCACGGGCCCCGGGATAGAGAGCAGTTTGTTGTATTTTGATAGAATCACTGGTGCTTCTCAAATGAGGCTGAGGCTAGCAGGTGAGGAGGGGAGGCAGTAGGTGGTTGTGTTTGTGTGGCTTGTCCATAGTGTGAAAGAATCTGTTACGGGGCCGGCCCGGTGGCGCACTGCTACAGTGCGCTGCTTGGGAAGCGTGGCGGCGCTCCCGCCGAGGGTTCGGATCCCACATACAGACCGGCCGCTCACTGGCTGAGCGAGGTGCGGGGGCAACACCAAGGGTTGCGATCCCGTTGCCGGTCCCGGTCCGGTGCGGGCGCAACACTGAGGGTTGCGATCCGTTGCTGGTCACAAAAAAAAGACAAAAAAAAAAAAGAATCTGTTACACCTTTCTTTTGTGTGTTGCCAAATAAGACAATATGAAACTGTAAAACCAGTATAAGAAAATTCAACCAAGTTCTCATTTTTCCCAATATGACTTCAATGCCATTTTGGTAATATTAAATAGTATTTATTTCAAAAATTATCTTTGTAATATAAAACAGCAATTTCCTCCCCAAATTGTTTTTCCTTACCTCTGCTTGGTTGAGTCCATCAGAGTGTGCTTAGTCTTTCTATTGGAAAAACCAGTTTGTGGGATTGCAGGCCAGGGGCATTACAAAATGGAAGCTGGCAATGTGGTATCTGGGGAAGGCTGGGGAAGGCTGAAGACAGTTTTCAGTTGGGACTAATATGGCATCTTTAGGATCATAAAATGCAGTACTTTGCAGTAAGACTGAAGCTTCATCTTGCAAGTTGTCTAGGGAATTCTACTTATAATTATTTTCCTTTACTTTAGCATTATTTTTCCTTCCATGCTTTAAGAAGTGATTTGGTGATAAATTTCTTTCTAAAGTATTCTTCTTAGTTCTCTTTTAGCTTAATATTTGAGTCTTGTACAGGGTTTCAAGTGACACAAGGAAAAGCAGGACCATTTGCCACATTTTCTCTGAGGATCTGATATAATCTCCCACCTCTTAAAGAGACTCTTTTGCTAACATGTTGCCTGTGGCTAGCCATTATACTTAGCTACTTGTCCAATTAAAATGCTCCTCAAAAGTGTAGTTTATTTTATTTATTTTTTTAGTCTTTTGAAATACTGCTTGAGTAGCAGATCAAGATCTTACCTCTGCTAGCCAGCTCAGTAGTTCAGTCATGATTGTTGTTACAGATAAAGAAGTTTTCTTTCAAATTGATAATCAAATCACTCTTAATCTCTGTGAAGTTACACCTAGATAACCATGTGCTGGTTTTTTGTCTTGCAGTGAAAACTTACAAAGTTAATAGCTATAAAAGCGATGATATGCTTTCATATCATTTTTACAGAATCAAAAACATCAGTATTTACACTATGTATGCCAGGCTTGGTGTATCAATTATTAAAACATAACACAAAGCCTTTAACCTCCATCTAGAAACCTGATAGAAACTTTTAGGAGAATCTTATGTAGTCTATACATATGAAGATACTCAAGTCTAGTCTGATAGCTCTACTGGTGTCTTAAAGCACTATTGCTAGTTAGCTATACATTAAGGAAGGCAGAATCTATGGATTGACTGATGATTATTTTAATGATACCTCATTAATGGATGGAAAGTGCTTCTACTGACTGTTTTTATATTCATGTCCCAAAGTGACTACATTAAACCTGAACCAAGTAATTTTTCTTTTTTTTTTGTCTTTTTTCGTGTCCGGCAACGGATTGCAACCCTCAGTGTCGCGCCCGTACCGGACTGGGACCGGCAACGGGATCACAACCCTCGGTGTCGCGCCCGCACCTCGCTCAGCCAGTGAGCAGGAACCGGTCTGTACGTGGGATCCAAACCCTCGGCGGGAGTGCTGCCGCGCTCTCAAGCGGCGCACTGTAGCAGTGCGCCACTGGGCCGGCCCATATAGTAATTTTTCTTTACACTTATTAATTTCTAATTTTTCTTTGCCAATTTAATCTCAATTTATCTATTATCTGATTGACTGTTTTTTTGCGGGGCAGTGAAAAGGGTGGAGGCAGGAAAACTGATGCAGGCCCTGAATTTCAAATTGCTTATGCCTGAAGGAATGTCTATGACCAATCTATTTTGGACATATGGAAAGAATAATTTTCATAATAAATTTGGAAAATCTAAAGACCCTAGAATAGCACATTTTAATAATCTCTTTCTATAAATATCATTTTGGATTTGAATTGATCATCTGGATATGCAAATTAAGCTCTATTCTCTTGACCCTTTCACATGTGCATATTAAGCTATGCTTTAAATATTTCATAGTCAACAAGTGGAAATATTGGTTTACCACAATAATTCATTCTTCCCCCTCCCATCCTAAAACTCCAACATTTAAAAGGAGACTGATAATCAAGAGAGCTAGAACTTATTTGTACAAAACTGACTCACTTTCCTAAATTGGCTCTGCATGTCTATGTCTTTTTTGGAATCGTAAATTATTTTCACTGCTGGTTTGGATGAAACTAAAATCTATTTTCCGGCAGCATTTGGTGTGTTCCTAAAATGAGTCAGAACCGTTTTTTACTACGGGGAAAAGATCAGTAGGGGCAAACTTAGGGATAAATAGGACCTCCTTCTAAATAGTTACCACATGAGGAAAATCCTTTGGATGTTAATTACCACATGATTTTTTTTGTTTTTCTTGTTTTGTTTTGTTTTATTAAACTACTGCTTTAAGAGTGCAAGTAATATTCTTTCCTTAGTTGTATGTTAAGAGTTATATTAAATTAATTATATTAACTTACTAAATTATTGCTTCTTCAATTTATTCCTAGATTCATTTTTAAATCACTAGGTAGAGTTTCTTTTTTTCCCAAACTAGTTAACCAAAAACATAAACAAGCAAAGCATAGAACAAAAGCAGTTAAAGAGGTCAAGGCCAGGATGGATTGACTGCTGCCATAGACAGCCCAGTGCTCTAAGGCATGGCATTTTTTTTTTTTTTTTTTTTTTGGCATGGCATTCTGGGGGCAGGCAGTACATGGTTGTCATTGAGTAACTATAAGGATAGATATAAGGGTTCCATTCTTTTTGGGATCAGAATATTTTTCTCTTTTTTCTTTTCTTTTTTTCAAACCTTGAGATCATCATGGCCAGATGATTGAGCTACTGCAGAATTTTCTACCTCTTGGGAGATTGGGACCAACCAGCAGTGTGCTGTGTGGTATAGGGAGACCACATATGGTAGCCTTACTAACTCAGAAATGTCTCCAGTTCAAGATTCAAGATTTATTGGTAGCATATTTTATTGTGTTGGGTATCAGAAAATTTACAAAGTGAAGTCCCACCTTTGATATAGCCCCAATGCCAAGCAGTTACAGAAAAAATACACCAAAAGGAAAGAGTGCATTGCTACATTCTTAAATATGTGGTCATCTCAGGTATTAGCATTTCTATTGACTCCTTTTTGAAAAAAACATGGATAATTTCGTCTAAGACTGAAATCTTCAGTGAGGGCAGCAGTGTGATTAATGGGGAAGGAAAAGCCAATCTTGCTGTAGCTAGCGACTGGCTAGCAACAATAATAGCTTACTTATTTATTGTGTTTTATAGTTTTAAAGCACTTATAATGCATTAGATTATTTCAGATTTTATTATAAAAGTAGGTGCGTCTTTAAATTTTTAAAGGAGTTGTTGAATTGAATATGTATTGCCAATTCTTTGTTTTTAAAAATAAAACAATCTTGAGTAGAGTATTCAATATCTTAGATTGTCTCAGTATCATTTTGAACAATTTTCATTGCATACAACTATAGATGTAGAAGTGTAGCATATTTTGCAAACTGTTTGTATATTAGATTATTTTGTGGTCATGTAATTCTGTCTCCTGAAATTACCATGTTACCAGTTTTCCAGTTAATGGAATACTCCTCCTAGTTGAAGTTCTCTTACAACTATATTTTAATGATTATGAATAAAAGTGGTTACTATTTTTTGGCTTTCTCTCTTCTCCCCTCATTCCTTCCTTCCTCCCTTCCTTCTTCCCTTCTCTCCTCCCTTCCTTTTTTTTCCCTCCTTCATTTTTTTTTGTACCTGTTTATGTGATGAACATGTTGACCTCTGAATTACTTGAAAGATAGGATGGGCAAGAAAAGGTGTATAACAATTAAAATTCTAATATTGAATGTCAGAAAGTAGTTGGGAGAAAGTGGGGTATTATCTGAAGAAAGTTGCTCTGGTAGTTCTGAGGGTGAGGAAGATCTGTTGATGTTTCTTCCTGGATCACTGCCATTCTGAACAAGAACTCAGGGGAAAGATGATAGTGCTGGCAAATGCCCTGCTTACACCAGAAGGTAACTGAATTGAGGGCAACTCCATAGTCATAGAAGGCTATAGCAATCCAGAACTTCCCAAGATGCCAGTCTCACTATTCTCTTTCTGTCTGAACTTTCATCTTTCTCTGATGGCACATCATTTTCTTTCCTCCTTTTTATTCCTCTTACCTCCCAACACACTCGCCTCCCCCAATCCATTGCCGCACCAGCCAGTGCATAGGCTCCCTGCAGAGCATGCCCTCTCTCTCTCTCTCTGACACTGGCAGTCACATTTTGAGTTCAGACTCCGAGTTAAATGTTATATTGGGTTGAGGCTTCTATGATTTGAATTCTCAGGCTTCATGAGATCCTATTTCAGATCATGGGAAAACACTTCAATATTGCACGTCATGGGCAATCACGAAACTAATAGTTAATATAATTTTAAGGAACATGGGCTTCGGAGTGCTGGGTGTTACTTCTGGGTTCACTGGTTGCTGGTTGTGTGACTTTGGGCACTTCTCTGTACCTCAGTTTCCTCATTTGTAAAACAAGGATATTAGTAACTCCCTTGGAGGGCTTTTGGGGTAAAAACATGAAATAACTTAGTCAAAGGGTAAGTAGCTAGCATAAAGGGTGTACAACCATTTGTTTTGTTTTGTTCCTCTTTTTTTGAGAAATCTTGAAACAAAATGATAACTAAGTTAGTAAGATAAATAACTAAGTTAGTGAGATAAAGTGTTACTGCTTGAAATGGAAAAAGTCTCAATTTATCTGACCACCAGCTTTATTTAATCATAATCTTTCTGTTGAGGATGGATTCCAGACAAATTCTCTTTGCGTTGCACGAAGTTACGCCCTGTTAGTAACAAATCAGCCTTAGAAAGAGGCCTTTTCCCCATAATCTGCCCAGAAATAGTTGTATAATTGTATTGAGAAAGAATCTAGTCAGTTCTCCTGCTACTAAAATATATCCATGGGAAAGATGGAGTGTCTTTAATTATGCCCATTTATAAAAAATGCATACTTTTGAGAATAAGTAATTTCTTAATTTTAAGAGGATCCAAGACAAAATTGGTATTTACATTTTAGTTATTTTTTCATTTCCATGATTCTCACATATATACTTATACCTTGAAATTATTACACATGTACACTTATGTGAATACTTTCACATGTAATTAGTCAAGAAATAAAATTGATTTATATGTGTAACATAGAATTAGTCATTCCTTTTTATTGATAATTACTTATATACAGAATAGTTATTATTATACTGAGTGATGAACCTCTTAATTCTCATAAGAACCTTGCAAGAGAGGTGTTGCTACTTCCATTTTGCAGATGAAGGATGGAGGCTCTGAGAGACCATGCAACTTGCCCAAGGTCACACAAGTTACAACCAGTTAGTAGCGGAGTTGGGACATTCACAGAGGCTAACTCTAGCTACAGTGCACTTTTCACTCTACTGTTTCCCTTTGTGGGGATCAGTGTCTATTCTTGGCATTAGCTGTATTTATATATTCTTTTTCTTCCCAATGTTATTCATTTAAATATTTTAATAACCACTAATATGCACAACTTTTAATTCAATAACATCAGAGCTGCAGAGTTAAATCTGTTTCCTCTGAGAGCCTATATACTTCCACTTTTGGGAAAAGTAAGATTGGCATAATTTCCAAAGGACACCGTCACTAATGATGACTCACTGGGGTCATCACCCTGAGGTAAAAGAAGTGTCAAATGTTCCCTTGCCTGGGAGTACAGTGATGATCTCCAGACTCCTTCTTTCTTGTTGCACAGGAGAAATGGGGACCCAGTTCTCTGAAACATAATCAGAGCAGAAACTTGATGGCTTCTGTGACTAGTGCAGAAACTTCACCAGAAGTCAATAATGAGCTTTTGCTCGATGTTGAGAAGTCTGCTAGTTTGGATATTGTGATTCTATGTGCTTAAGGATCTATTACAGGTGGATTGAAAATTGCAGTTAAAATTGATCTTATCTTTGTCTTCATTTATATTTCACGTAAGGTATGAAGATTAGTGTTAGTTTTCAGTTCTTTTACCTTTGTAACAACTCTGCTTTTAAGTTTTGCATCAGGGATTTAGATCCTCTAAATTTTCTGAGGACCACAGGGTAATAGCCTTGAATCAAAACACGTGGGAAGACATGATAGTCATTTGCCACAATTGTTGTGTCCTGGTTTATTTAACTTTTTTCCAGCTTTGCATATGCAGGTGTAGACCTTCTCAGTGAGTGCTTACTGAAAGAATGAAGACAATGGTGAGCATAGAAAGATATGCAAAACTAATTTGGCTACTTGGCTGGACAGCATTGAGGACAAAGATGGTGTTTGAAACTATCCAGAAATTCTAAAACATGTGAACACACTTCCACTTAACATAATTCTGTAAGATTAGGTTTGTTTCTCCTTGGTAACCTAAGTTTCAGTTGAAGATAGAATTATTTTATACATTGGGAATAGATCTAGTTAGTTGAAACATTTATCTCATGGGGACAAGGAAAGAAACACCAGAGTGAGAAACAGGAATATATCATTTAAAGTGTTGTATCTTGGAAGAGGAAAAGAGAAGTGGAACACCAATTAAGCGAAGCAGTCCACATGAGCAGTACAGTTGGTGGAGAAAGGATGCCCAGAGATAGGCAGCCAAATGCCAGATTCATCACACATTCTTCAGAAAGTAGTGATCCTGAGAGGGCTGGAAGCATGGTGGACAGAGCAGCTGTGCGTCCTTCCGTTACAACAGGAAGGTTAAGGTGGGTCATGCAATTCTGTGCTGCACACTCAGAGATGCTGCCTCCTGTACTGGGCTGGCTGTGTCCTCTGTGCAGCACTGGTGAGGCTTCAGCTAGGGTGACTTCAATCCCCCAAAGAGATCCACAGACTGAGAAAATATGGAGAAGAAAAGGCTAAATGTTGAAGATGCAGGGAGAACTGACATACAAGAAAAGATGCTCATTTCTAAGTCAATAAAGGGGGAGCAGTGAAATCATACAGGGAGGCCCACACATCTAGAATTAGAATTTTGTTGATTAAAATAGGAAAAAAGTTGAATAAGTTGAATAAATATCTCCTAGTACCCCATAAGTACATCTCCATTGGCTCAGATAAAAGTGGATTCAAAAAGCAAACACTGAGAAATGTAATATGTTCTGAATTACATAGGACACAGGTTCTCTGATTCAGCAGAATTCTCTTTCTCTTTCAGGATTCATGAGTCTTTAAGAGTAACAATTTCTCAATAAAACAAACAATAAAACCAAGTGAACAAAACTTTAAAAACTATTAACAAATATATTTATTGTGGTGGCTTTGTCCTCTACTAGACACACCTTGTTAGAAAGTAGCATCCCTTTTAGTTCCAGGTGGACCATTAAGTGGGTAATAAAACTGTTCTTCCCACATTGAGAGTGAAAGAAAACACATGACTTTGCAAACACGTTATATTCTCCTTGCTCTATTTTTTGTTTTCTATGAAACCAGAATTTTCTTCTAATAAGTATATTTTGTTTTTGGAAGTATGTTTCAGGTACATGTTTACAGACATATACTCCAAGGAGTAGTAGAGGCTGAGCCACATAGTGCTGACATAGATTGGAGACCTGCTCCAGGTGATCACAACCCTTCACAGTTTTGTAAAGCACACAAAAGCAATCTCCAACTCTATGATTTCTTCCACATTTTGCTTTTCTCCAATCCCATCCAGTATATTTAACTCTGGTATGCACTCTCATGTTTCTTGCAGAAGTACAGGATGAAGGCAATACAACTAATCTTAAAACAGGTGTTTCTGTGATGATAAATCCTATAATTCCAAATGCCAGGCCCTAGTTCTGAGCATTTTCTAGATCTCCTGGACAAAACAACACTTTCCTTTGAACGATGTTTCTCTCCCCTGCTCTCTTATTTGTTTTGAAGGGATACTGCAACTTTGAATTTGCAGAATTATCTTTTGCTTCTTAAAACAATAGCTTGAAAAAACATTTGTCTAGGGAAAAGATGTTCCTTCTCCAGATGTCATCATTATGTTGTAACATGATATAACCTATCGATAATTATGTACAAAATTTCTTGTCTTTTAAAAATGCACAGAAGCACACAAGGTAACCATTTAAATTATCCCTTCTTTGAACTTTTGGCTCTTTGTTGTTAACTATGTTTGTATGAAGAATATAGCAACTATTTAGAATGTTGTTTAGACAGAGCAGTAACTGATATGTTGTCCATTTGCGGTCCTAATGGCTACAGCGCCTGTCCTGGGCATCTGGTGAGATAGCAGCATCATGAGTCTACAACAATCTCATGGGACCCTCTAGTGTACAGTGCTGACTGATACCGATTTCTGTTGTTTATCTTGGGCTTTTCGCTTCTTCTGCTGCTGTTTGTCTTTGTTTTCTCGTTGTTCCGGGGTTTCTCTGCTAGATTCCAGACCTTTGTTGTCGGGGATTGCTTCCTTACTTTCTTCTTTATTGAGTTTTTTTCTTTTCCTCTCCCTTCCTTTTTTTCCTGAAATGAAAGGACACTCCTTTGAAAATTACATTCAATTATGTTCTATTTGGTTATTCTAAGTTTTTTAAAACAACTTAATTTCTATGAGGTTGTATACCATACCCACAGATACCAAATATCTACTACTTAAACTATTCATTCAACTACTCATTATTTAGTCTGTGCTGTATTCCAAACAATGTAAACATGAAACACATATACAATATAATGAAGCTACTAATATACAATAGTTTATACAATAGTCTAGATAGTCCTATTCTTATAAATTTAGGATTTATTTTACAAGATAGTAATTTATGTACATTTAGTAGGAAGTTTTGAATATATTTCTTGTAATCTAAAAAATCTATTAATATATATATTTTATCTGGCTCCTATCTAAGGCACCATTTTGTATTCAATTTTTTCCAAGTAACAGTTATGTATTTGTAATCTGTCAAGAAATTTGTATGTCATCTAAGAAAAGATAATTGATTTGCATAACAAATATGGAAATAATAGCTCATGATGAATATCAGGATAACTGTACTTTATTTCAACACAATTATTTATGTGTTGAAATTAATTTATATTGCAGTTTCTGTATACGCAGGATGGTGGTGACTTTAACTTATCAATAACCCTATAGTATAAGCTATGAGGCCAGGGACTTTGTGTCTCTATCGATTATATGAGGATATATTTATTGGATGTATATTGAATTCTATGCAGACTCCTTATCTTGAACTGGGTTTGAAGCATAGATTTAATTCAGACTCATATTATGAGGTATTCAAAAAAAGTGATATAAACACGACTTGAAAGGTTTTGACAGGGAGGGCATATTGTAGCCAAAAATGGAGCCAGGGTGAAGAACTGAATTTTATTCTGTTGGCATTGGAGAACTGCTGAGAGTTCTAGAAAAAGAGATAATTTGATCAAAGTGTATGAGCCTGGCACCAAATTGGATGGTTTTTTATTTATTTATTAATTTCTAAGTAGTGAATTAACTAGTTTTATAACATGTAAACATTTTACATATACAGTGTAGAATGTGAAAGAATTTCTGAGGGCATGGTTTTAGCACCATCCATTAACGCATATATCCAAATGAGAAATTACTTAGTTCGAATCAGTATCATAGAAAATGAAAACTAGGAACCAACTATTCCTCAATGTGGGACAAATTCTGAGTGCATATCCCTGCATACCGAGTCATGTAAAATTTGAAATGGTTGCCTACAATAAGTCATTTTAGAAAAAAAATATTTTGGAGAAATTATTTGCATAAGAGAACCAAAATATTTTCATGTCCTGAAACAGGCTGCAAATATTGAATTCAGTGGTTTGGCTTTCCTTTTCCTGAGATCTGGTTATGGAATCCTAGGGAGCAGTATTATTAATTCAGCATATGTATACTGGGCCAATACAGTCTCCTTGGATTAATGATTTTATGCCACAGCTAGCTTTGTCAAGAGACTATATTTACAAAACCTTCAGTCACTTTATGAAAACTCGCCCTGTGGGGCTCAACATAGCACACCTCTAAATCCTGGCCTCTAAAAGGACAGTTAACAAAAATGATAATTCAGACCAGGGCAAAGCAAATACCAGTCAAATTGTTTGGGATAGATAGAGATGAACAAAAAACATCAGAGTCAACTATTATGCCGAAGCTGAACTACTTGTATACTGATTTGTCAATTCCATAATTCTGTTCACTTTAAAGAATATTGCTCGGTTGGTATGATTTTTACAGAAGGAATCCAGGATTTTCCTCATACTGGATTTAATGACTACGCATTTGATCTACTGACTTGAACGTGGTAACTCAACAAAGAAAACTGAAGAGTAAATTTACCTTCCTGAATATGTAGCATAATTTAAATTTTATAAAGCTGCACACACTGAAAGAGAGAAATGCTGGTTTTCATGATTTGTGCTTGGTTTTCAATAGGAGATGGCTGAAAAGGTTGGATTACATAATTTCCATTTTGAGGAGCATTTTGGAGGTGTTCAAGCTCAACTCTAAAAAATTTGTCAGCAGAAATCATTCCAAAGTTCCATAAAAACTACTGACCCCAAACAAAATGTTATTTTTATGGAAACGATCCAGAAGTTCAGTGTTTGACATTGTTCTCTTGATGATGATCCAACATCTTACAGCTGTGATTGCAACCATAATGTTTTGGACACATAAGAAATATATTGTTTCTTCCTTGGTCACAGATTGATTTATATGTTTTTTAGCCACTTGTGACAACACATTCAACTTGCAATACATTTCTGCTTGTTAGCAAACTGATATGATTAATTCTTAAGACAGGCAGAAACATTTTTGGAAGTAGCTTAAAACTAAGTATTATGGCTTTATTATCCAAGGAATAACTATTTAGTCTGGGTGGTGAGTGAAAGGGGAGGCTCTAGTAAAATAACAGGAAACTAGCACACTGTACATCGTTGCTGCCCAATAGAGGACTATTGCACAATAGAAAAATGGGATTATTATTTTTTTATAGGTCATGTGTTAGTGGTTGGAAAACTAACTACCCTTTTGCATAAATACTATATTTTCCTCTTGTCCAAGAAATAAAATAGAAATGCAGAAGAGTGGCTGTAGTCCATTAAAAATCACGTGCAATTTGGGGTAATTTTGTAAGGTTTTCATTAAAGGGAACTTCTTATTCTGTTCTGGTTAATATTTTTTGTTTTTTGCAATTTTGCAAACTGAGTATTCTGGTTATAACAGTCTGACAGATATACTCATGCCTTGCTATTTGCTGAATGTGCGTGTGTATGTGTGTGCATGCACACGTGTGCCCAAACTGGGTTGCAGAGCATTAGAATGATTAGAAGAATGTTCATCTTCCCTGGATGTTCCAGCTATGAGGGTGGTGCTTGGGTAGCAACTATCAAAGAGAAATTGCTATTAGCAATCAAATACAATCTGAGCCCTTGCAGGGAAGCACTATGGTGTAACATTTAAGAACACTGTCTTTAGGGTCAGAAAAACACTGTGTTCAAGTCCTAGGTCTGCCAACAACTGGTTGTGTGAACTTTGACAAGTTATTGTATTTCTCAGGATTCATTGTCTGACATTTACAATGAGAATAATCATTACTACTTGCTAAACTTTGTAAGGGTTAAATGAGATACATGCAGAGCACTTAGCACAGTGCCTGGCATATGTTAATCATGGGACAAATGAAAGCTGATATTATTAACTCTTTACACAAACATGAATTAACCTCCTACTCCACGCCATAAGTGTGCTACAACCTGGGGATAACAAGTGAAAGATGGAAACCAACATGACCATTATAGTCATACTCTAATGCTAAAATAGAGACATGCACAAGATATTTCTAGGAGTAGAGGGAAAGCATTGAATTCTGCGAACAGAGATTGAAAAGACTCCCCAGATGGGGTGATGTTTGAGCTGAGCCTAAAAGAATGGCTGAACGTTTGCCAGACTGATGAGGGAAGAAGGGCATGCCAAGTGGTGAGCGATATGTCAACGGTATGAAGGCATGCAAGGACAGAGTGAATCTAGGGCACTGAGAGTAGACTTCATCAGTCTGGTCAAAGTCTATATATAGGATATTACCCAGAGAAGCTGGAAAGACATACAGGACTCAGTTGTCATGTGGGGAGTTTGTCCCGAAGACCAGTGATACGGAAAACTACAGAAGGGCAAGTGTCAGAATCTGAGAGTGGGGCATAGTTTGGATGTTTCCATAACTGATTTAGAAAAGGGCAACAGGACATTCTAACATGTAACCTTATTTCCTAATTCAGAAAATTGCTGTAAGTAATAAAGAATCCATAGAGGGAGTGTAATCAACGGCTGTAGTCAAAAATAAATATATTTTTGAGCCTTGATCTTGGAAACAGTAGGTAAAATTTCTATTGTAGACCATAAAGCCAAATATTATTTAAGATTTTGTTGCAAACTAGTACCATATGATTGAATAGGCAACTGACATTTTTGAAGTTCCGGAATTATTTTCTATTAATACAAGCATACATAGTCTTTTTATATAAGTACTTCCTAGGGCCTTCTGCAGACCAGTTCCCAAACATAGATGACTTTTAAAAGGTAAGATTCTGACATCCTGCCCCTGGAGATTATGAATCAGTAGTTCTTATGAGGGGCTAGGAATCTATACTTAATAACAAGTTTGCCCCGTTTTATTCTGATGTGCAGCCACATTTAACAACCACAGCTGTAGAGCAATAGAAGATCCAATTTCTTGAAATATATATTTTCAAAATTAATTTCAAATCACATGGATACTCATTTGATTTCTTTTATTTTTCCTAACAGATATCAGATATATTTTTGATTTACTGTAGGTTCTAATTTTTAAGGAAAGTGTTCTAATTAGGTACATTTAGAATAGGTATTTAGGTATAAAATAAAATTTAGTTGCAGATGATCTTTTTAAAACCTGTTTAAATACAATACAAATATGAACTAAAAAAAATAAAGATGTAAAAATAACAAGGAAAGAAAATTATCCTCAGTTATTTTTCCTAAATTTTATACTCATATTACATAAATTCCCAGTGAAAATACAAACTGTAGAACATGTTTAATACTCTTTTAAATATAATGTGGTTATGGATAAAAAGTTTTCTCTCCCTCCAATCACAAATCTAATTGAGAATTATTTAAATTATGAGTATCAGAGATTCTCTTAATGTTTAGAAATCATCTGTCCATAGGTCTCTATAAAAGCTGCTTCTTTGTGAATTTCTTCCAAGGTGCCACTAAGGGGAGCCATTGAGCTTTAAGTAGCTCCATTTCCCAAGACAAACTAGGTTATAATTTTTCCCCCAAAACTAAAAATGTATCCCACATTTCAAACTAAGGACTAAATATAAATGATTTTATAACTCAAACCAGTTAAGTAAATATTCCATTAAAAATATAAAATTTATTGCCATGTCTTTTCTCTGTATTTGGTGTGGAATAAAATTCAGTTGGAAACCCTTGGCTTTATACCTTTTAAAAA